TTCGGTACCAGGCCCGAAAAATAAAAAAGGGCACATTGCAAGACTGCTCCGGTAGGTACCATCTTGACTCGAAGCAGTCATGCATTCCAGTTTCTAGCGTGGTACAGGTTGTGGCGGGTAGCCATCGTACAACGCAAGATAGTTGACAGATACCTGAATCTCGCTTACGACAATTTCTAGATAAGCTCGCATATATACAAGTTCCGAACAACAACATTCGGACCGTCGGTCTACCGAGCAATATCACTCGCTCGGTGGAAGATCTCTTTGTCGTATATCTAAACAGATGTAATATGTTAAAATCGAGATTTTGAGTTCATGTCTCAAGACGGGTGGTGGTATTCAGGTTATGTCTATAACTTCCACTAATCTCTCAACACCACTACATAGTTCTATCATGTGCACATTCTTCTAACTTGGCAAAAAAATAAAAAAATATGTGAACGTGGGATTAATCCCAATAAAACGAGTCAGATAAACGAATTTATCTACTCAATATCTTCCGTCTTGAGGTATCTTTCCTTAAAAGAATTTGCGAAAAACTAATGGTAGGACCTCTTGTGAGTCCGCACGGGTAGGTACCACCACTATTTCTGCCGTGAAGCAGTAATGCGTTTTGGTTTGAAGGGTGGAGCAGCCCTTGTAACTATACTTGAGACCTTAGAACTTATATCTCAAGGTGGGTGGCGCATTTACGTTGTAGATGTCTATGGGCTCCAGTAACCACTCAACGTCAGGTGGGCTGTGAGCTCGTCCACCGATCTAAGCAATAAAAATAAAATAAAAACTTGTCTTAGACATTAGTGACGTGGCTGTGCCAAGGATCACAGAAGACCTTTTGAAGTTTTTTAATTTTAAGCACGGCTTCGTTGGATTGGAGTAGTGGCTCTCATCTACCTTGAATGGCAATAAAACAACTACACAAAGCAGGATGTAACCAGTTTTATCGATACAATAATAGCATAATAATTTAATTTATAATGTAATCCAATTAAAAATGTTATTGCTGCATCACTGTTGGTGATTGAAAAAAAGAGATCGAAAAATAATTTTAACACACATGGTCTTATTCATTATGAGTTATCGGAGCTTTATTATTGCGTTAATAGTAGAATATTATTATATACATTGTTACATACTTGTTTTTGTTAAAGGGAAGACTGTTTTTATATATGTAATACTTTCATGTTTCACGTCTCAGCCATTAAATAGATCAATGTGAAATTTTGTATACACGTTGTCAGAGGTATATAAAAGACAGTTTTTATAATGTTTAGTTTATTATTTTTCTACATTAACGTGAACGCAGTAGCGTGCAAAAACTTGTATAAATATTTTTAAAGGTATTTTTGCTTTTTTTTAAAGGTATTTAGTTATATTTAATCACGAATCAGGCGTTATAAAATTATTGTAACTAGCGGTCCCCGGTAGTCGAAATTCGACTATAATTAATTGAAATTATAAAAGTCTGTATACTATTATGATTCTATTGTCAAAGACTATTATACTTCTTTTTTCACAAATTTCGCCAAAACTACATTTCAGACAAACATAAATAAAGACAAACATTACTTAAATAATTTATTCTTAATTTGACCACAGACTAAGCAATAACAAGAGTTTGACAGTAAACAAATAGTATGCATGCGTGTGTGAGTCAAATACATGGTAGTGTGTGTAATTTTTTTTTTGTTGTGTTTTATTATACACAATTTATCAAAATATTAACATTCTGTACTCCTTCTCTATATTCTCTATAAGTTGTGGGAAATTTCATACTCCTCTGTCTGCGCAATTTTCGTAAAAAGTGGTACAAAGCTTTTGCTTCACGTATTAATATATAGATTAGGTATTTATCAGTGGTTGGCGACATTTAAGCTTTCATGTCAGAACTCGTCATCAGATTAGCTTCAGGGCTATCAAACTGGCGTAATAAAGAAAACTAGCATCCCTTTCATTTCCGTTACCGAGTTATCATTGTAAGGTGGAATAAATAGCACTCAATGAATATAATGATAGCATTTACGAGTAGTTATTCAAAAGTGCCGTCCGCAATAAATGTTAAAGTATACGAAACAATGAAATAATGATAACATAAAACATTATATATGTATGTTTATGTTATTTATGTGTGTAATTGTGTATGTATATAGTCTGATATATTATGTATTAGTGTTTTTTATTTTTATTATTGTTATTGTGTATTGTATCAATTAGTAAATTGATTAGATTGTACTCTTCTACCCACTCATGTAAAGCTTTCCCTCTTTAAGAACGGTTAGCTGATAGATAACTCAATTGTTGAGTTAAGCTCGCCATTTTATAACTTTTCGCAATTACTGTATTATATTAACTGTGTGTACAATAAAGAATAAAGAATAAAACATGACATTAATGAAGATTGAATTATGCGAAAAGCAAATAAAACACTACAATGAACTATCAAATTAACCTCAGTGAGTGAAGCGATAGGAGTAGCAAATATATGTCCAGGAGATAAATTAAATAACATATTTAAGTTAGATTTTGAAGTCGTCGTGGCCTAAAGGATAAGACGTCCGGTGCATTCGTATATAGCGATGCACCGGTGTTCGAATCCCGCAGGCGGGTACCAATTTTTCTAATGAAATACGTACTTAACAAATGTTCAGGATCGACTTCTAAGGTGAAGGAATAACATCGTGTAATAAAAATCAAACCCGCAAAATTATAATTTGCGTAATCACTGGCGGTAGGACCTCTTGTGAGTCTGCACGGGTAGGTACCACCGCCCCGCCTATTTCTGCCGTGAAGCAGCAATGCGTTTTGGTTTGGAGGATGGGGCAACCGTTGTAACTATACTGAGTGAGACCGTAGAACTTATATCTCGAGATGTGTGGCGCATTTACGTTGTAGATGTCTATGGGCTCCAGTAACCACTTAACACCAGGTGGGCTGTGAGCTCGTCCAACCATCTAAGCAAAAAAAAAACATATTTAAGTCAGATTTTTCAATGAAAATAAACCAAACCTTAAATGTATCGAAAATCCTAATTAATTTCTGTCTTGTTCGACTTCTCATCAATCCCGCCTAAAAACACACGCCATTGCAATTTAGGACGCCCAGTTATCGTGTTCCTATTTCTGTGCAGATCAAATCTTAATCGACATGCCATGCTATTTCTTCATTATTCTAATCAGTCGTGAACCCGTGTTAAGTGTGCAATTATTATTTGAGAGTATGTATTATTTATATTTAGACATTAGACTTAATTATGAGCGTGATAAATAAATTGGTCTAAAGCTAAGGGCTTACACGGCTTGATACGGAAAAGGGTTGGTATCTGTTTTCTGTTTTAGACACACGTGTACTCGTATTGATTGATGTGACAATACCGTGCTCAAATCCCGCAAACTGGTATCGTATTTTTATAGAAAATCGCGTATTTAACATATTGTTATGCCGGTAAGAGTAACGCCGTCTATCGCCAAATAGTCGAACGAATATCGAAGGATCTAGTGGCATCTAGAACGCTCGAGAAGTACAACGCCATCTATTGTCAGATAGCGGAAACACAATACTCGAAATGTGTGGAATATCCTCGATAATTCTAGGGATGTGGTATCAACGTCTATAAAAGCGTTGCAGGGATGACACGCAGTTAGTTAGTAATCGGAACTACTCGAAGCGAAACAGCGAACGGATCACCTGAAGCGAAGCAGAAGAAGTGAATTGAGAATTTTAAAGTGTTTGTGAAGTGTTTTAAGTGTTGTAAGTGCTAATACAGTGATTTTTAACTGCACTTCGGTAGAATTTTATTTATCCCAAACCCCAGCGCGTAACAATATGTTCACGAACGATTTCCACAGTGAAAGAATGAGATGGTTTCATCATCATTTTCTTCATCATCAACATGTTTTCTCATTTCATATTCTTTTATCATATATGTACTATTACTTCGCTCACTCCCCTATTACACATAATAATATCGTCTTTCATGCACCCCATCCATTTCTTCTTAGGTCTACCTCTTCCTCTAAAGCCTTCCACATAGTTAAAACTCTCTTAACAACCTCATTGTCATTTCGTGTCATCAAATGTCCATACCATCCCAAAATCGCACTTTTCAACTTCTTTGTCACAGGTGCTACTTTCAGACTTTCTCTAATAATACTATAAAAAACTGCGTAATTATTGGCGGCACTAAAAGCCTACCTGAAAAAAACACTACAGTGTTTCGACCGTAAAGCAATCACGCATTCCGAATTTGAGAAATAGACGTTTTATTATGGTATTTTTGGGCTCCGTTAACTAATTAATGCCAAAAGGGCTGTGGGCTCGTACGCCCATTTCTTATGATTGAAGAATTACTGGTGATCCGGTGGCCTTTCCAGTTTCACCAGGACAGGTGGGCGAGCAAAGGCTCAGCCAGAAGGGATTAGATTTGCTAACGAACGCCTCTAAAGGAGACCTAACATCTGAAAAGCAGCTGCTTCGCGAATTAATCTACTGCCGGATCAGAATCGCGACCTGCTGAGAAAAACCGGCGAGAAACTCAACGGGCTGATGTTTAGGTTACGCTCATCTGTGCATTACAACAGTCAGAGGAAATACACGTATAATATTTCCTTTTTTAGAATATAACAAATAGGTTGGGCGGTTCTGTTTGATGGGCGCGACAGCTGTTACACAATTCCGTTTGAGACAACGACCTCATGCCTCAAGGTTGACGGTGGCACGTTACGGCTTCAGTAATCCATGTATTAATGTCCATGTAGACACACTAAAAAGTAATATAATAAACCCAAAATTAAAGTTATTAATAGAGTCTAAAAGAGATGTTTTTGATTTGGAGCATAATCATTTTTTTTAATTAGTATATCCCGAGTATCTTAGAACGAGAAATAACCTGTAGCCTCATATAGCAACCGGAAAAGATTAATTGGGCTTATAAATCACTAAATCGATGCCCAATAAAATTGAAATCATTCTGTAATTGTATCGCATTACTTCCAACACTATCAGCGGCATCCTGACCAACCTTGACAGCGAGCCAGCACCTATATAAGCTGAGGCTTGGTTTGGCAGATCATCATTCTCTCAACGGGACCACTGTGAGCATCATGTCAATGGTACGTTAATAATTTTTCATTTTAAACGGCTCTAAGAAAATTCTATTTCATTCTAAAATTCATTATATTTTCCCCGATTTGCGTGGTATAAGCGCGCAGATGAGCACACGTCTCGCCTGGTATTAAAATATTATCGGATCCCTTAGAATTATCAGTGAAAATCACCAATTTTTTTTGGGATATGAGATCAAGGCGAAAATTTATTTGAAAGTTTCTTTTTTAGTCCTATAAATCAGTTTGGGCAACTTTTCCGATAGCTTTTTTTTTAAATCACCTATGTCTATCATCACACATAAAATTTCTAAATGTGGGATAGAAATACCATTAAAAAGATAATTGACGATTGAGTCGAGCTCATTTTTGTAACTTTAGCTAAGTGTTTCGTCTTTTACGCGAGTAGTAGTGGTAGCAGATAAAATGACTACAACGATTTTTTTTATTTTTTTTTATTGCTTAGATGGATGGACGAGCTCACAGCCCACCTGATGTTAAGTGGTTACTGGAGCCCATAGACATCTACAACGTAAATGCGCCACCCACCTCGCGATATAAGTTCTAAGGTCTCACTATATATTATAAGGTCTCACGATATGATATCGCGTTTAATTTAACGTCTTCCAACAGTCCGATAGTTTTTTTAAGACAAGCGGCCCGTTCCGGCTCCGTTCGGGTGTTTAACAAAAATTTCAACGATATTTGAGTTGTTGTTTTTTTTTTATTAACACTTATTGCAGCATAAATATAATAGTAAGACATATGCTGTCGGGACACTTTTTGTAAATAATAATGTATTCTACAAAGTCGTACTACATTATTTTATTCTATAATCAATAGTTTTCGCAGGGCACGCGATTTAAAGAATATTTTAGGTGTTTTTTTTACACCTTCGGTTACATTATTTGAGTTTTAGTAAATATTCCTATTTTTTTTCAAAAAAGATTATAGCCTATGTCATTCGGGAATAGTGTAGCTTCCAAACACGGAAAGAATTTTTCAAATCGGTTCATTAGTTTCGGAGCCTATTCAATACAAACAAACAAATCTTTCCTCTTTATAATATTAAGTATAGATAAGTAGCTAATTATAAATGACTTCATTATAGTAAGATGTGTTTGGAGGATTGGCTGACTTCGAAGTTAGATCTCAAGTTTCAGAGTAACTACGGCTACATGGTGGTTTAACGTCAGATTTGTCTTAAAGCTTTGTGGTCTTATAATATTTTGTAACAAGTAGTTTGAAGTAACCGTTTATACAATAACGGGGTCCAGAGACGCGGCACCCTCATTGTTATGGCTCATGACAGTCGTGACTATTGTCAATGTTTATGACGTTTTCAATTCACGATTACGATCTAAAGTCGTAATAAGTGATTGTTGAAAAAATAGCTGTCGTGTTGAATTGGTGATACGTTTTGTAATTCGGCCTATATTTTTGTGGTTTTTGTCGTTTCGTCGCAACGGGTTTGAAATTGAGTTTTTTATTGATTACGTAAACAGATGATGAGCTTTCCAGTCCATTTGTTCTTTACTCACTGGAGTCTATAGACATCATTGCGTGAATACCGCCACGTAACTTAAGGGCTAAGTCTGTGATGTACAGTATAGGCTGCCCCACCCTTCAAATCGGAACGTGTAGCTGGTGAGCTGCGGCTTAGGACCAAAAGACGAACTAGTAAGTCAGTTTTAAGCGCTCACCAACACGCGCGAGTTGATTGATATCCGCCGCAGAGTTGTTACATCGCCTAGTTTTCAGAGCAGTCGTTATTTGTTAGACGAGTAGACAGAAATGTGAGAAGGCACCACAAAAGTGGTAACATCTGTACCACAAGCGGAATCAAGGAAGAAGACAAAAAGTTCATGGTCTACCCACCTATGTAAAGCTCACCCTCTTTAAGAACGGTTAGCTGGTAGATAACTCAATTGTTGAGTTAAGCTCGCCATTTAAATAACTTTTCGCAATTATTATATTGTATTAACTGTGTGTGTACAATAAAGAATAAAGATATGATGATATATCGCGAATGCTTTTAATATATGCGAAGTCTTAGTCTTCTTGTTTCAATCTTAAGACAGTATCAGTTTAAATGTATCATTTTGTATTAATACATAAAATATGGAATAGCAATTCTAGCCGTAAGAGATTGGCGTGGTTATTCCAGAAAAAACGAGGGTGCCTAAATTGAACATTGAAACTGACATCCATATCTCAATAGGTGACTTAAAAAAGTTTCTAATATGTATTCGCATTGTTTTTTCTTTTCTTTACCTATTTGCTGGTAGCCTAAGGGGTTATTCCAGCTACTCGTGAATGTGTAGGTAAGCTCACGGGCTCAACCTAAGAGAAGTCACTAACACTAGCTCTAGCGAGAGCAGTGTTGGCAGAATCTATCACCACAGTGAGAAACTCTGTGGGATAATCTCGTGATTTTTCAAATTTGCTTAGACGATTTCTTTTACAAAATTCATTCTGCATGAACTATACTTGAAACCTTAGAACTTATATCTCAAGGTGGGTGGCGCATTTACGTTGTAGATGTCTATTTGCTCCAGTAACCACTTAACATCAGGTGGGCTGTGAGCTCTTCCACTCATCTAAGCAATAAAAAAAAAAGTATGTTTACCTAAGATATACTTTAACGATAGCAGAAGAGGTAGAGACGAAGCTTTCAAGCTCGTGGTCGTGCACCTGCTTAAGCTATTGAAATCGAAGCCATTTGTATGAATTTTGTTTTCAGATCATCTTCGCAGCTTTTATTGGTGTGTGCGCGGCGGGTGCCCTCCCAGCGTACGTCCCTCCTCAATACCGCTTTTCGCCGGCTTATTACCAGGATGGTAGAGCCAGGTCGTCCCTGGAGGGGGGCGCCGCTATCTTGAGGTCGGAATCAGAAGTCAACGAACAGGGCTTCCACTACGCTTACGATACAGAGAACGGTGAGTTCATTTGAGTCTAAGCATATGTACTGTCAATTTTCATAGGCTTTTTAAGGAGAATTATTAAGTAGTAGCCGTACTCGCCCGCTTCGCCGGGCATTTCTTTCTTTCTGGTCGTTCTCTCAATGCTGAGGATCGTGACTGTATGTCAATCTTCTCCACTCGGTCCGGTTCTGCGCCATATGTACCGCTCCCCATATCTGGCCTCCAGTCACCTCCTTGAGTTGGTCAACCCATCTAGCTGGCGCTCTTCCTCTAGCGCGCTTCCCCTCCATCTGTCCGAGAATTGTGAGTTTCTCCAGGCTGTGCAATGAGGATCGCATTATGTGCCCAAAGAAACTCCGGATCCTTTCCTGGCACATAGTCAGCAGGCGCTTGGTGACCTTCAACTCTTCGAGGATGGAGACATTGGTTCTCATAGCTGTCCAAGGAATGCGTAGCATTTAAAATTAAATTTAAAATTAACAAATTATTATTTTTTGTCATTATTATTAGGGAGACCAACTCTCATATAAATATTAGCCTATCCATTAAGTACATGTATTTTATACATGGATACCAAGTTTCAAGTCAATCGGTTGCATGGTTCAGTAGTTATAACGGAACATCCGTAAAAACCACTGTAGATTTATATATTAGTATAGACTATAAAATAATTGGAAGTATAGTAAAAATTGAGACTTAGAACTCATATCTCAAGGTGGGTGGCGGAATTTACGTTGTTAATGTCTATGGTAGCCGGTGACCACTTAACACCAGCTAGGTCATGGGCTCGTCCACCCATCTATGCTATTAAAAAAAGTTTAAAGGCTATTAAAAGGTTTAGTAGGTAGGGCTAGGGACGGTATTGCGTCAATGTTAGCCTCGTAATCATCATTGGTTGTCTTTACCGCCTACATCACGTGGGCTAAATATTAACTGACTATTCAGCAAAAATCCTTGTAATTGGTTAATTCAACATAAATAAAAAAGGAATAATTTTTACAGGTATTTCTGCTGAGGCTTCAGGAGTTGAAGCTAATGGCATCCAGTCCCAGGGTCGTTTCTCTTACACCGGTGACGACGGTCAGGTTTACGCCGTGACCTACACAGCTGACGCTAATGGCTATCAGCCTCAGGGCTCTCACCTGCCCACCCCTCCGCCCATCCCGGAAGCCATCGCCAGGTCTCTACAAGAGAACGCCAGAGACGAGGCAGCCGGTATTTTCGATGATGGTAAGTTTTGATTTATTGACAGTTGTATAGAAATTGTTTTCAGCAGGAGAGGAAGAGGAGGAAAAGTTTTTCATCGGGTAACTGTTTGTCTTAAATAAGTTTCGGAATTGCTCATAAAAGTCGTTAGTTATTGAAACACTAACTAGTGGGATTTAAGTTTTTTCTAAGGCTTCTTCTATTGGGCTTTGAACTGCTGCACTTAGTTCAGAAACAATTCATTTGGTGGCCACATTAAACCGGCGAAATGTGCTTTATTGTGACGTGGCTAATAATTTTGGCAGATACTCAACGTTAGAGGGAATATGGATGTAAATGTTTATTTACGAGGAATAAAAAGCATCGAAAACAACTAATGGTTCGCATGTGAGATTAATCTATATACATAAAAATGAATTGCTGTCGTTAGTCTCCCTAAAACTCGAGAACGGCTAGACCGATTTGGTCTTGAATTATTTGCCGAAGTCCAGAGAAGGATCAAAAGGTAGATAAATATGAAAATTCTGGGAACTCTATTATAAATAAAGTTTAGGTCATTTATTTATCGATTGAGGCACTACGAAGTCTGCCGGGTTAGCTAGTGCTATATAAAAATACGTAATCATATTGTGCGGAGGTGTGTAGGAGTTTTGAAAAGACGGATTATTTTACTAAATTTACTGGGCAGCTAAATCTGACTACCTTAAATAATTAGAGAATGAATGGGGATAATTAGAGAATGAATACCTCATCAGTGCCCGCCAGCACGGACTCCCGAGAGTCCTACGAAATTACGCGAAATGCTTACGCTGGAATAAATACAGGTCGTGTTACATACTTGAACGCTTGACTAGGTCCGTTGGCGCAAAGCTGTAATAGCCGTTTAGGCTTTTTTTTATTGCCCTTGTAGGCAGACGAGCATACGGCCCACCTGCTGGTGAGTGGTTACCGTCGCCTATGGACTTCAGCAATGCCAGGGGCAGAGCCAAGCCGCTGCCTTCGCTGCCAGCGAATAGGTAGGGAAAAAAACCCGACTAGGTATGATCGTATTGAGGGTAGGAATAACGTGGGAAGAAACAAACTATAACTATAGTATTTTAGTGTTTTTCATCGATGTGTCTAAGCGGTTCCTTGATGTCGATTATGTTTTAATAAAATAAAATAAAAATCTCTAGCACAAAAAGTATAACAAAACGATTACAAATGTTTAGCTGTATTTTATTGTGTATATATTAAACCTCACCAGATCACATGTTACTCAATATTTGCATGAGTTCTAACATTTTGCAACAAGTATTGCTTGTCTATTTAAATAGGCCGAAACTTAGCTTACAAATTGAGGCGATTAAGTTCGACTTTATCATAAGTTATAATTTATTTGTCATCTCTATAATATTTATTGACAATTTAAATTTTACTCAAATAACATTATTCTATTTTAATCTATGCGTTAAATCGTGCGTGTGTAATCATTTTCATAAATTAATACAGTTTGTGGGTAAATTCTTGGCTGTCATAGGATTGAAATCACGCTGCCCTGTTTCTAAAATTAATATTTCATTAATTGAGAAATATGATAGCCGAAAGCTCTATTTAGTGATTACTTCAGATTTATGGCTATTAAATTTGTAGAGCCTGAAATGTGAAGGTGAGCTTTCGGTCTTACGCAGCGTTAAGTTACTGTATAGCATTAATGTTACCGACTATTGATGTTTTTTTTGTAGCGCGCAATGGAAAGTAAATCAATGCAGGCACGCTTGCTACCTTCATGTTACATTTTTTTTTATTGCCCTTGTAGGCAGACGAGCATACGGCCCACCTGATGGTGAGTGGTTACCGTCGCTCATGGACTTCAGCAATGCCAGGGACAGAGCCAAGCCGCTGCCTACCGCTTAATACTCTCCACAAGCCTCGTTTGAAGAAGGACATGTCATAGCGCTCGGGAAACGCTGTGGAGGAGAGCTCATTCCATAGCCGCAATATTCATATTCCATTATTATCCATAGCCGGCATATTCCTTTACATTGCGGATTCCCGAAGTTTGACATAGTTTTATCTTAGTTTATTACAATTTGGCGTAACGCGTAAACGCGTCCTGATTTGCATATATTTTGGGCAAATCTCTTATCCTTAGTGGTAGTCCCACTCGCAAAGTTTGAATAAGTATTAATGCATAGTGTGGTAAATGAAAATTATATTTTTATTTTATTGTAGCAGTTCATTCCTCTTTACAAGCTAGTTCTGATTTTATCATCGCAAAGCTAGTCAAGAGATTAGTTTTCGGGGAATAAACGTCTTAAATTACTTATCTCATTCTTATAAATAGGATTCAAGTCCAATAATGTTTACTGGTGGTAGGACCTCTTGTGAGTGCGCACAGGTAGGTACCACCGCCCCGCCTATTTCTGCCGTGAAGCAGTAATGCGTTTCGGTTTGAAGGGTGGGGCAGCCGTTGTGACTATACTGAGACCTTAGAACTATATCTCAAGGTGTGTGGCGCATTTACGTTGTTGATGTCTATGGGCTCCAGTAACCACTTAACACCAGGTGGGCTGTGAGCTCGTCCACACATCTAAGGAATAAAAAAAAGAAAAAAAAGAAAAAAAAATGTTTTAATGTGTACTCACTTCATCTATACAGAGATTAACAAAAATATACTTGCAGATTAAAACTAAAATGATTCCAATTTATTAGCACGTAATCGTATATTTGCTGATACATTTGAAAGTATTTCATTCGGTGAATAATTTTTATTTAATGTCAGTTTTAAGTTCGACGGAGTCAAGGTTAAATAAAAGCTTAAATATTTACGATGCGATAGTGATGAAACTTTAAAATTGAATGATTTATTTATGAGTATAATGCACTATTCTATTTCTTATGTCAATAATAATGTTAATGTCCTACTAAGAAATAGCAATTGGTTACAAACATTAATGCATTTAATTTTATTCTCACTTATCTCAATTCGGTACGCTAATAGGTATGGCACGAGATACCATAAGTCGTCACCACCTTTTAGTGTCGTCAATAGTGATGGTTATTATAATATACATTTAACACTATAAGGGTCGTCATCTACCTAGAGCATTCAAATCTTTCGCAAATTAAATAAAAATCAAATAAGTTCTTATTCAATTAGGCTTTTACCAGAAAACAGGCCATTCAAAGACTCCCAGCGTCGAAGCAGTACCGTTGAAAAATCTTAGAACGAACTGGGTTTTACTGTACTTCACTTCTCTGCGTTTTACTAGTGGTAGGACATCTAGTGAGCCCGCGCGGGTAGGTACTACCGCCCCCCTGCTATTTCTGCCGCTAAGCAGTAATGCGTTTCGATTTGAAGGATAAGACAGCGGTTGGACTATAGAACGAACACTTTGAATTTATGCCTTGAGGTAGGTGACGGTATTAAAGTTGTTGATGTCCATGGACAACGGCAACCAATGAACACCAAGTGTGTCGTGAGCTCGAGCAATAAATTATAATAAAAATAATTTATGCCGCCGTTAATACTCTCTTAAATGGGATCTATATTGTAAATGGCTATTTAAATAAATCTACACTTATAAGAATCCAGTTAATGCTACTCCCGAGATATTTTTTTAAGACGTGATAATTTTAATAAACGATAGAGATGAGAACAAACATTTCATATAAGTTACATCTTCCTTAGAACTTATATCTCAAGGTGGGTGGCGCATTTACGTTGTAGATGTCTATGGGCTCCAGTAACCACTTAACGCCAGGTGGGTTGTGAGCAGGTCCACCCATCTAAGCAATAAAATATAAATAAATAAAACATGCCACTAATAAAATATTATTTAAACTGTATTACAATGGTGGTTTCAGGAAGCTACCGCGACGCTAAATACGAACCTGCCGTGATCGCTGCCCGAGCCCAGTACCCCTACGCGAAAGGGCAGTACGTGAACCCTGCCTTCCGTCGCTTCTACAAATACTAGAAACACCAATACTACTCATACCCTTCTTATTTATAAAGCAAAGCAGATAAATATTCACATCGTAAATGATAAAGCTGTGAATTTTAGCTAAACTTTGTTTTATAAGTACAAGGCTTAATGTGTTTAAGGTAATCTACATTCTCGACAAACTTTCCTTCAGAGTGTTCGTTGTTAAGACACGCAGCGAGAACGTAGAGATGCTCTTAAAGAGGCAAACTCAGCTAAGTTATGTGCCATTGTGATTGTAAGTATATTTTTATGGTAAAGCAAATAAACGTTGATTGACGATACTTTAGTTTTATTGTTTTTTTTTTTATCTTCATAAATGAGCATGCCGCCTGGCTGACGATGACGGCCACTTGACGATGAGTGCTCACTATCACTCGAGTATATCAACAGTATTAGGGGCGGTCCATAATTACTGATGGCCACTGAGTTTCTCGCCGGATCGCTTCTCAGTGGGTCGCGATTCCGATCCGGTGGTAGATTGCGATGCGAAGCACTGCTCTAGCTAGGGGCTAGTGTTAGCAAATTTTCTCAGGTTGAACCCGCGAGCTCACCTACCCGTCCAGGCGTAGCTGAAATAGCCTCTTAGGTTACTACCGAATAGGTAGAGGAAAAAATACCAATATTGTGAGCCCGCACGGATCTCTAGCATTTTCTTCGATTTTGTCTTTTCTATTTATATATGATCTGCGTTCCTCTTATCGTGAAGATTATAACCGAAATCCAGAAAATTGCTAGACCTCAGTTGTGAAACAAAGCAAATATATATTTTTATAGATAAACTAGCTGTACCCATCCGCTTCGCTGGGCATTTAAAATTAACATTATTATTTCTCACCCCCACAAAGATTCTCATCATTAACGCCCCCGCAACTGGTGTAGGGGGTCCAATACTCATACAAATATTAGCCTATCCATTAAGTACATATATTTTCTACACGGATACCAAGTTTCAAGGCAATCGGTTGCACGGTTTAGTAGTTATAACGGAACATCCGTAAAAACCACTGTAGATTTATATATTAGTATAGAATAGACGGTAGTTGGAATAAGATTCAAATTAGAATAACACTTAAATCGTCCGTTACCACGAAAACTATGAACGTCGGAAATAAATTAATAACAATAAACATGCAAGATTAAACCCTAAATGTTTTAGTACTGCGTATTTATGTTGTGACATAATTATGAGTTAAGGATTAAGTGGGAGGGGAGCAGACATTGTGAAATATAATCAGACTTCGTCTTTAAGTTGGAACTTGAATGGCGGCCTTTATATTGAGATATCTATGGGCTCCAATAACAGCTTAGCGTCAGGTATCTATCCTAAAAGCAGATTCCATATTTTCGTTGAAAAACTGCGTTGGGTATTAGGCACGCTTACTATGTGATGGGTAGAGTGTTTTTTCATTCCATACATACAAAAGCCCTTGCATCTTGAAAGATATTACGCAGTAGCTTCACTTAAATAAAACCATTAGGCCTGCCATCAAAATAATTGATAGATTCCGAAATCAATTCATCTGTAACATAAAAAAAAAACACTTGTAATTAATTTAATAATAATAATAACAATAACATCTATGAAATACGAATCGATGGCTACCAGATTGTTAGTTCGCGTGAAAAGTAATTTATTTAAGGTACCGTTCTGATAAATGCGTTAACGTTTTTTTTCACTCGTTATAAATATATGCTTTGGTAATACGAGTAATACCACTCAATTGCTTACGATTGTTTAATGTGTATGTGTGTATGTATGTAATTTGTGTATTTTATATGAATGAATATGCGAAAACATCTTATATGAAACCTTATATGAAAACTTCAACCGAAATCAGTAACTAACCATACAACATGAATATTGTCAATGTTAGGAGCATGGTCAACACAGAACTGGTTTTTAAAAAAAAATATTGCTTAGCGCTGCCGTGGAGTGAATAGAGCGACCGGTCGACGGTGTATCGCGTCCCGACCCGGCAGGCTGGTTCTGGTCCAGCGGGGTATTCCGGGACACCAGCGGCACCGTCTGGGCGGCCCGACGGGCTGCCGTACCGAGACGGCCGACGTTTCAGAGCCTTCGATTCGCCTCGAAGGCTCCGTCGGCTGGGCGTCCTTGGGGTGAGCCGCGCCGTCTGGTTGTAGTGTTGACCGCGGTAGCCCCCCTACCTCATCCGGATTCTGACCTCGGAGGGGATCGGACGTCGGGTGTAAGAGTGCAGGGGAGTCGTTTAGTGGGTGGGTCCTAAAATCCTTGGGCCCGCGGTCTGCTCACAACACCATGCAGATCGTTGAGTCTCACATACCCCGCGCGCCCCTTTTGCGCGGGGACCTCGTAGGAGGTTCGGCCCTNNNAAAAAAAAAAAAAAAAAAAAAAAGGTGGGTAGACCAGCTCACGGCCCACCTGGTGATAAGTGGTTACCACAGCCTATAAACATCTACAAAGTAAATGTCACTTTTAACAAATGTTCTTAACAAATGTTCACGATTGACTTCCACGGTGAAGGAATAACATCGTGTAATAAAAATCAAACCCGCAAAATTATAATTTGCGTAATCACTGGTGGTAGGACCTTTTATGAGTCCGCACGGGTAGGTACCACTACCTCGCCTATTTCTGCCGTGAAGCAGTAATGCGTTTCGGTTTGAAGGGTTTTTTTTTTGTGGTCAGGAGGAAATCGCCGGACTTCCGCCCTTTTCTGGGGATACTGGGCGGGGTATGTCAGAGTCGAACTGACTAAAACCTCCTGTCGCTCAACAACCAACGTCCAAACCTCGCATGAGACAGAACTCATGACAAGGCAAAGGGGGGAAAGTGAAGCGTTTAGTGCGGAGCACATCTCTCCCATCACCCTCCCCCTTGGGACGCCGGACTGGCGGTCGTCGGCGCCATGACCACCAGCCCTCTCGGTCGGCAGACTGTCCAAAGCCCGCCTAGATAGCGCCGGTTAGAGTGGGTTACCCTACGGAATACCCCGCTGGGCCAGAACCAGCGTGGGTCGAGGATAGCCGGCCTTCCATCACCCGGATGCTCTTGCGTAAAACGCGCGCAGAGCAGCTTGCACGTCGTCTTCTTAGGCCCCCCTCGCCGGTCCCCAGACCGAAGATTACAGATATGATGCTAAAAGCAAACAACTTTGTCTACCCTCATAATATAATCACTACATAGTATAAAACAAAGTCGNAAAAAAAAAAAAAAAAGACTGTCCGAAGCCCGCCTAGATGGCGTCGGTTAGAGTGGGTTACCATACGGAATACCCCGCTGGGCCAGAACCAGCGTGGGTCGAGGATAGCCGGCCTTCCATCACCCGGATGCTCTTGCGTAAAACGCGTGCAGAGCAGCATGCACGTCGTCTTCTTAGGCCCCCCTCGCCGGTCCCCAGACCGACATGTGAGGGGGACCCGAAACACTTAGAGGGCCAGGGCTTGGGCGAGATCCGCCTCCCTGGCCCCCACTCGACGGCGGCGGGATTGTGCGTCTCTCACGCGCCCTGCCGCCTCCTTCTGCGAGATGGTGCACTCGCAGAAGTCGAGCATCGCCTTCCACGACTCGTCGTCGCCGATCATCGATGCCACAGCACTCGGCAACGACAAGTCGGTTCCTATTTTTGCGACGAGGACACGATGCCACCCCTCCCATGCGGGGCAGGCGACGAGTGTATGCTCTGCCGTGTCCAAGTCGCAACCACAATGGTGGCACTCTGCCGTCGGCTCAGCTGTGATCCGGTGCAGGAACTCACCGAAACAACCATGCCCAGTGAGCACCTGCGTGAGCCGGAAAGTGAGGCGTCCTCTGTCACGATTCACCCAATCCACAAGGACCGGGCGAATCGCCTCGACAGTCCTACGACCAGCCGAAGGATCAGCCAGCCGTCTGGACCATGACTCCAGCCGGTTTGAAGGGTGGGGTAGCCGTTGTAACTATACTGAGACCTTAGAACTTATATCTCAAAGTGGGTGGCGCATTTACGTTGTAGATGTCTATGGGCTCCAGTAACCATTTAACACCAGGTGGGCTGTGAGCTCGTCCACCCATCTAAGCAATAAAAAAAAGACTGTACAACGGCTGCCCGGCCCTTCAAACCGAACTGCATTACTGCTTCACGGCAGAAATAGGCAGGGTGGTGATACCTAGCCGTGCGGACTCACAAGAGGTCTACCAGCAGTAATTACGCAAATTTTAATTTTGCGGGTTTGGTTTTTATTATACGATGCTACTCCTTCATCATGGAAGTCAATCGTGAACTATTGTTAAGTACGTATTTCATTAGAAAAAATGATACCTGCCTGCGGGATTCGAACTCCGTTGCATCTACTTTAGATACGAATGCACCGGACGTCTTATCCTTTAGGCCACGACGACTTCTGTTGATAGAAGATTATTAATCGTTCTTTAGAGACAGTTAAATTCTTGAACCAAACCATGTACCTCTGAGCGTACCGCTCGTATTGGATGATTCATACAAAAATCTATAAAAAAATGTTTTTTTAATTTTTAAATCGTAATCTGTGCCTTCGAAACTCTGTGTTAAGGGTACACTAACAACATAACAATTTATTACACGGGTCATTACTTGGTTGTAACACAGCCTCGGGCTGCGTTCTTGGAGATCCAAATTCGTAATACTGACAATTATTAGTATGGAAGATTAATTAAAGATTTGTAAGTGTTATTACTTTAACACTTGGGCGCGTTTAGTTTTGTTTTATTGGTGGTCAAGCTCAGTAGGGATGTTAAGTTGCGGTATCTATACTAATATTATAAAGAGGAAAAATTTGTTTGTTTGTTTGAAAAATTCTTTTTCCATTAGAAGCCGACATTGTCCCTGATGAACATAGGCTCCTTTTTTTTTTTTTTTTTTTTCATGTGTATTTTAATGTTTCCGAAGCGAAGCGAGGGCGGGCCGTTAGTCACAATTATATTTGCATTAAAATATCAGCTATTTTAGCCTTTACTTAGCTATATTATTGGCGAGCTTTTGAAATTGGTTGGTTTTTATGGTAATTATATGCGTTACAATGATTCTACTAATAGGACGAAATAGGTTGGAGTATTAATTATCTGCAACAAAGGGTAGCGTCTTACGAGGCTGCAGAGTCTGAAATTACCCGGTTCTTTCGGCCTTATATCCGTAAATTGGATTTCTAAACGTAAAAAAGTGCCTATCCGCTGGTGGTTCCATGCTTTTCACAGACGGTGCCTATATTATACAATAAATATGTAATGTGTAATTGTTATTAAATTAATTACCTACTAATTAGTAAAATCTTAACTAGCATTAAG